CATTTTTGGGTTTTCAGGGTAAGTGAGGTAGTTGCCGTTCAATCAGCGACTCATCACAGCGGCGTTGTTGCTGAATGACCTATCTTTAAGCTAGCGACCAATCCCTACGTTGAGGTGGTCCTCACGGGCCTCCAAACAGATCAACAAGGCAGCGGCACACCGCGCCATTCAAGCAGTCCCTCGGTCCATACTGTGCCCGTCAAAGCTTTGACCGCGATTTTTGGCAGTCGCGACCCCGCGTACAGGCGGATATTTCTTTATTCACACTAATTCTGCTCCTTTAACAAGATTTCAGTTTCAGGCGGATTGCTCAGGAAGGCGCTAGCGGCAGCAAAACAACCCATCAATATTAATCTTTACTCTTCTCATTCATTTCGGATAGGGGCAGCAACCACAGCAGCGTTGCAAGGAATTCCGGCAGTTCAGATTCAGGAATTTGGCCGCTGGAGATCGAATGCCTACCAGGCGTATATCCGTATCCCTCGGCTAAGCACACAAATCTAATTTAAGAATTATGGGTTGCAGGACCATCGTGGGTGATTGGCTCAAGCTACATGGCGAGGCTGCAACAACACCTCGGGCCGCACCGAAGCAGCCTGGGCCTCGCTGGGGGGGTCATCTGGTTAGGCCAGGGGGCCTCAGGTGGTCGGAACTTCACGCAGCAGGGTGGGCCGGGCTAATAAGGGCAAGGGGCCCATGCAGGTAGTTTATTGTGATCCGCTTGGGTTCCAACGACCTGTGTGAGGTCCTTCCAAAGTCCTCTACGATGACATGCTCCAAGAGTTATTGTATATTAAGCCTCGCGCTGCCCAGCTGCCACCATCATCTGGCGCAGATGCTGCCTCGGCTTTCGAGTGGCGTGGAGCTATTGATCTCCAGCGCCCTCGAGCTGAAGAAAAATTAAACCGGAGAATCAGCAACATCGTGAGGGGCAGCTGGGCGGCGGGTTGTATCATTCAACCCTGACCCGCCCATTATCTGGGCCGGGGTTCACCTAACCAAGCCAGGTATGGGCGGCAACATCAGGCCATCCTGGCAGCATTGAAACATTAAGACCTTTTCTGTCCTCTCCCCTACTCCCACCTTTAACTCTTTAACTTCGTTGTGGATGGCAGCCCGGCTAAGCTGTCCGGCAGTGGGCAGCGTCGCGGGGCCTGTTGGCATGGTGCCGGCGGGACTAAACACTTAATCGGCTTTAAAAGGGGATACTTGGCTTCTGCTTTCACAGTGGCAGCCCAAACCTTCCTGCCTGCTGTCTCCAGCGGGAGGAAGTACAAAAGTTTCAATGCCTTATCAGCCTGCTTTTCCTGCCTGCTGTCTCCGCGGGAGGATATACAAGGTTTGCAATGCCTTATCAGCCTGCTTTTCCTGCCTGCTGTCTCCGCGGGAGGAAGTACAAAGTTTGCAATGCCTTACCTGCCTGCTGTCTCCAGCGGGAGGAAGTGCAAACTTGCCTATGCTTTGCCTGTCTGCTTTTACAGCGGCGGGGCCGCCAAAAGCTAAGCTATATATCCGGTCCCGTCGGCCATCCACACCGCTCTCATTGTCATCCACACTTCTGCGTTGTGTAGTCTTTCATTTGGTAGACATACCATCTTAATGCCATCCTCATCAGCCGCATCTGATCGTTTATTACAGGCTAAAGGTCTGCATATAATGACATTTAGCATTAGTTGCTAAATGGGTTTATAGGCAGCATTTACATTCGCACAGCTCTAACACTTCTCTGGCAAGTGAAATATACTTGGATATGTAGCGTTTAACTTCTGTTGAATTATGTCATTTCTAATCATCTTCGTTTAGGCATGCAGCTAACACACAGTCGGCAGTGTAGTTAGAAATATCTGTTTTAACCTTTAGGTACTAAGGCGGCATATTTTGATAAAATGGGGATGGGTAGAATATACAATTCTTTGCATAGTATTCATACACTTAGCTTATGATAAGTATCCAGTGTAGCAACGATGCGTGGCAGTGTATTATTTCCGCATTCCATAATAGTAGCTACGTCACTTCGGGTGATGTCACATCCGCAGGCATACGTCCGCGTCCGTTTCCTTTCTATTCTGCATGCTGTCCTGACAGGTTCACCATCTTGCTTCATCACTAATAATTTCCCCCCACCCTTCCCTGCTGCAGCACATGATCTGGGGAGTGGGGTGCTGCAGGGCAGAGGTAGTTAAATGCATGACTTATATTTAGTCTTTACTGTACAGTTATCAGTATGCATAACATGTAACATAACCTTTTGTCTTGCTTCCTTGTAATAAACAGGTGCGGTTGGGCATGGTGCCGTGGGACTAAACATTAATCGGCTTTAAAGGGGATACTTGGCTTCTGCTTTCACAGTGGCAGCCCAAACCTTCCTGCCTGCTGTCTCCGCGGGAGGAAGTACAAAAGTTTCAATGCCTTATCAGCCTGCTTTTCCTGCCTGCTGTCTCCGCGGGGAGGATATACAAGGTTTGCAATGCCTTATCAGCCTGCTTTTCCTGCCTGCTGTCTCCAGCGGGAGGAAGTACAAAGTTTGCAATGCCTTACCTGCCTGCTGTCTCCGCGGGAGGAAGTGCAAACTTGCCTATGCTTTGCCTGTCTGCTTTTACACAGCGGAGGGCCTCAAAAAGCTAAGCTATATATCCGTTCCCGTCGGCGCCATCCACACCGCGCTCATTGTCATCCACACTTCTGCGTTGTGTAGTCTTTCATTTGGTAGACATACCATCTTAATGCCATCCTCATCAGCCGCATCTGATCGTTATTACAGGCTAAAGGTCTGCATATAATACCACAGGTATTACAGAAAATCAGGCAGACAAACAATCTAGAACTGATTTTGGTCGCGCCTTACTGGCCAGCAAGAACGTGGCTTCCCGTTCTTTTACAAGAAATCGGAAAACCAACAATACAACTTCCAGTTTGGCCGAACCTACTAATTCATCCTCACACCAAGCAAGTTCACAAGTATATCAGATTGTTCCACCTACACGTATGGAACGTATCACGAATTGCTTGTCGAAAAAGAGGATACTCCGCCAGAGCAGCGAAAGCAGTTACACTAGCTTTACGCAGATCTACTCGTAACTTGTATGACGACAAGTGGCAAAGCTTTGAGAAATATGCATCGAGGAAAGGTTTCACTGCGGTGAAAGCAACACATTCTCAAATGGCGGAATATCTTTGTCATCTCAGACAAATGAGGAAATTAAAAGGTGCGACATTTTCTACATACCTATCGGCTCTCAGCTCAGTTATCACTATGAGGACAGGCGTGAAACTGACCAAGGTGCCAGAGTTACTGGCCTTGCTACGCTCTTTTAAACTGGAAGACAAACAAATGAAATTTAAAGCGACGGCTTTGGATCTCAACGTGGTGTTACGACATCTCAATCAGGACTAAAGACCCATATGTTCTCCAAGTATCATAGTGACATTTAACTCCACTCAACACTCACTGACTTTTATCTTTATACATTCCCATTGTAGCGCCTTGAGCAGGCATATCTGTCTGGATTGCGCGCATTATAAATGCACATTTATTATTATTATTATTATTATTATCTCACCAGTGATGTGTACGAACCACTAGAAAGAACTTCTTACAAATTTCTTACACAGAATATGCTATTTCTGATCGCCTTGGCTACAGCGGCACGCATGTCAGAAATACATGCGCTGGACTTTGAACGGATACGTTTTGACACATGTCACAACACGGTTCATCTAGGATTGAGGTGGGATTTCATAGCTAAGAATCAACTGCCAGGTCAACCGGGACAGACAATTCCATCCCAGCATTATCTACAATCCTTGGTCCACAGGATATACAAGATTTATCCCTATGTCCAGTCAGGCTGAAAATATATCTACAGAAGTCTAAAACCAGGAGACGAAAATTCAAACGCCTTTTCATCCCCATATATCGCCGGAGACACCCACAGAGATCTCACGTACTACGATATCAGTTTGGATGAGAGCAATCATACTCGAGCCTACAAGGCAGCAGGACTTGAGCCTCCTCGAGCCTCAATCCATACGAAGTTAGAGCACTGGCATCTACACTGGCGCTCTACATGGAAACTGCTCAATATCCACGATCATGGAAAGGTGTTTTTGGAAATCGGAGACAGTATTTGCTAACCACTACCTCAGAGACTTTGCTACCGAGGACGTCTCTGGTATCCACCAGTTTGGACCTCTGGTTGTAGCTCAACAGCTGACGGTCCCTCAAAGCTGAGATGTATCTCAGCCCTTTACGCATGTCATGCAAAGCTCATACTCCAAGGAATAGAGCTTATAGTCCATGTACACGTCTAGAACAGACTAGCATGAATATTGGACTCTGTACTAGTAAGGAATTACTTGTACATGGTTAAGGTCACTACTCCACTTGATATGACCATCAAGAGTTGGAGTTATTTAAATCCACATGTACGGTTACAGAAGATTTTGATATAAATTACCGAATTATTTCGACATATGGATCAACAGCAGCAGTGCCATTTAAAGTTCCCATGGGGGTATATAGGATGTAATTCATCACTAAGGAATCCAAAGGTGGCTTGACCCACCACCTATACCGTCGGATTCTACAAGCAGTAAGCATGAGTCAGGATAAGGAAAAATATGTAATTTTCTGACTAAAATTGATATTTTATACTTATCCTGACTCATGAGGTAAATACCTCCCAACCTCCCCACAAGGCACTCTGGATTTCACAGTAAACCAGTGTGTCGGTTATAATACGGAGAGAGTGAAGAGCATGGCAGACGGATGGCGCCGTTCCCGCCAAAACCGGGCAAGGGAGGTGACTCCTGGTAAGTGATTTTACGTCCGCTTTTTATAAGGGAGCTTCAAAAGGGGATTCAAGTGTTCCACAGCATTCGGAAGGAAAGGGGAGACAAGCAATAAGCATGTTATTTAATGAATCACTTTATCATGTATTTTCACAGGTGTGAAGAGACAGATGAAGGTATGTTTGATAACACTTTTCTCTTTATTGCAGGAACGTGACATTCTACAAAATGAAGTTGGTTCAATGAAAGAAATGGTGGAGATGACAAAGGCTAATCTTCATATGATGTCACAGGAGAGGAACAATGTGAGGAACAGCTTGGACAGTGTTACACAGGTGGGATAATTTTACATATATAGGACAGTGTTACACAGGTGAGAACACAGTATGATAATTTTACATATATGGGACAGACTGTGTTGTTACAGGTCAGACACTGTTAGGCAGGTGGAACAGTGTTACACAAGTTGGAAAGAGTAACACAGGTAGGACAATGGTAGAAGGTGGGACAGTATTATACACAGCTCTGTCAGTTGTTTTGATGGGATGGTTACTTTGGTGTTGGAATCTGGAAGCATACAGCTTTTTGATAATGCAGTAGACAGGATGTGTAGAATTCACTGTCTTGTTCATGAATGACTTTATGATCTGTAAATTCTATTCACTTTCAGGAGAATACTGTGCTATGTAAGAAGATCCATGAGATGGCAGGGCAGATGGTGGAGTTGAGAACGTTGCTGCAGGCGGTCCGTGATGAGAATGAGAGTCTGTCTAGCACCTGGAAGAATGTCTCCCAGGTAAGTGTGAGTGTGTGTCTAGCACCTGGTAGAATGTCTCCCAGGTAAGTGTGAGTGTCTGTCTAGCACCTGGTAGAATGTCTCCCAGGTAAGTGTGAGTGTGTGTCTAGCACCTGGTAGAATGTCTCCCAGGTAAGTGTGAGTGTGTGTCTAGCACCTGGAAGAATGTCTCCCAGGTAAGTGTGAGAGTCTGTCTAGCACCTGGTAGAATGTCTCCCAGGTAAGTGTGAGAGTCTGTCTAGCACCTGGAAGAATGTCTCCCAGGTAAGTGTGAGAGTCTGTCTAGCACCTGGAAGAATGTCTCCCAGGTAAGTGTGAGAGTGTGTCTAGCACCTGGAAGAATGTCTCCCAGGTAAGTGTGAGAGTTCTGTCTAGCACCTGGAAGAATGTCTCCCAGGTAAGGGTGAGAGTCTGTCTAGCACCTGGAAGAATGTCTCCCAGGTAAGTGTGAGGTGTGTGTCTAGCACCTGGAAGAACATCTCCCAGGAAAGTGTGAGAGTCTGTCTAGCACCTGGAAGAATGTCTCCCAGGTAAGTGTGAGAGTCTGTCTAGCACCTGGTAGAATGTCTCCCAGGTAAGTGTGAGAGTGTGTCTAGCACCTGGAAGAATGTCTCCCAGGTAAGTGTGAGAGTCTGTCTAGCACCTGGAAGAATGTCTCCCAGGTAAGTGTGAGAGTCTGTCTAGCACCTGGAAGAATGTCTCCCAGGTAAGTGTGAGAGTCTGTCTAGCACCTGGAAGAATGTCTCCCAGGTAAGTGTGAGAGTCTGTCTAGCACCTGGAAGAATGTCTCCCAGGTAAGTGTGAGTGTGTGTCTAGCACCTGGAAGAATGTCTCCCAGGTAAGTGTGAGAGTCTGTCTAGCACCTGGAAGAACATCTCTCAGGTAAGTGTGAGAGTCTGTCTAGCACCTGGAAAAATGTCTCCCAGGTAAGTGTGAGAGTCTGTCTAGCACCTGGAAGAATGTCTCCCAGGTAAGTGTGAGAGTGTGTCTAGCACCTGGAAGAATGTCTCCCAGGTAAGTGTGAGAGTCTGTCTAGCACCTGGAAGAACATCTCCCTGGTCAGTTTGACAGTCTGTAAAGCACCTGGAAGAATGTCTCCCAGGTAAGTGTGAGACACTGTCTAGTACCTGGAAGAACATCTCCCAGGTAAGTGTGAGAGTGTGTCTAGCACCTGGAAGAATCTCCCAGGTAAGTGTGAGAGTCTGTCTAGCACCTGGAAGAATGTCTCCCAGGTAAGTGTGAGAGTCTGTCTAGCACCTGGAAGAATGTCTCCCAGGTAAGTGTGAGAGTCTGTCTAGCACCTGGAAGAACATCTCCCTGGTCAGGTTGACAGTCTGTACAGCACCTGTAAGAACATCTTGTTGTCAGTTTGACAGTGTGGCAAACATACCCAAAGAACTCCTCCCTGGTGAGGATGACAGTCTGCTCATGATGCCTTTTCTGTGGGGAAATGTTCTCTTTTCAATTAAATCTTTAAAAAGACATGTTTAATGCCATTTGCTGAGTAATCTTTAATGTGTTGTGGTGTGGTTATTTGTCAGTTATGCTACTATGTATTTTGGGTCTTGAAGCAGAAATAGAAATCTTTGGAACTGGATGCCTCGGAAGAAAGATCTTCCTTATAAACACAGCTGTAGTAAAGGATTTGAAGTAAAATTTTCTGTTATTGTCCCTGCTTTGGTGTGACAAATGAAAACAAAATGCCACTGATAGTGAAGGGCCAGCCAAACAACTTGCTCTGTCCTGTGTCCATAGAACCTTGACTCCAGACAAATACTCTGTTGACATGCTCAGTTGCCCCAGCAGACTTGCTGTTGATTAATTGTGACTTGCATAGCAATTGCCACAATTTATCTCAAATTTCTCTGGAAAGTATAAAAATATCTTTGGTTTCATTCACCAAATTCATCATCTGTTTTGTCTGTAATATACCATAATTTCTATTTTGTTTGGGGTTTCGTTTCAGCGTAACATGCAATTAATAAATGATCTTTAAGTTATGTTGTGAAATGGATATTGAGTCATTGATATATGTTGGTATTCACCAATTGATCACAAGTCTAGAGGGAATTCAAACTACAGAAATATTTCATGTTCTTACTAACATGCTAAGTTTGCAGAATAGTACTAATAGAATGGAAAAGTCTCCTATACTCCATGTTACATCATTGTATTTAATGCTCTGTTAAATTATCACAGACTATACTTCCCATCAAAAGTTTAGACTCACTAGTGTAAATGTAGCCACTTACTTCAGTCAACTGATCTAAACTAGATTTTGCAAAATATTATATAAAGTTTAAGGGTATTGTTTACACGTGAACTGATGTATTGTAAAACAAATTTGTAACATTGGTGAATTCTTAACAAAACTTTATACCAAAACACAGATGTTCACATGCATGATATTTGCAGATGATTTGCAGCAATTTGATGCATGATCCTTGTGCAGTTCATCTGCATCAGGTTTGCAGTTGGTTCCCCAAAGTTAGTGGAGAAATTCATCTTCAGTGTAACCACATATAAATACATAACATATAGTGAGTACTTTCAGTGAATCTAAACTTTTGATGGGTAGTATATAAAATATATCCTTTTTTGGACAAATTAATGTTTTACCTTATTCACCCTGACACAGGTGGTTTAAATTTTTGATAAAGTCTCTGATGATGCCATCAGGTATGTGAATAATCAATTAGCTCTCAATAATTGTGAATGGGAATGAATGCCATAAAACATATCCAGCATTTTCTTGGATATGGATGGAAACTTGCTACATGTGTCAGGAGTGGTGGAAGTACAACGTGATGGCTGATACACCTATCTGACATCGATGTGTGTTGGAGACGTTAGCAGTGTGCTGTCAGGACAGCTGCCACATACAAATAAGTTGTTTAACTGTGATTGTTGCCTGTAAACAGGACAAACACAACGCTTCCAAACAGATCGAGAACTATCAAGACACAGTGGCAGACCTGAAAGCTCGGCTGGCTACAGTGTCGGCGGACAAAGATCGGCTGTTTCAAGAAAAACTGGACCTCAATCACAAAGTGCAGCAACTGGTGCTGGATAAGGAACAGCTGATTAAGGTAATCCTGCCAGTGTCAGCAGCTGTGTGGTCAGGTTCAGTGTGAGATAACGGTAGCATGAAGTCAGGTACTGGTGGCATAGGTGGATCCAGAAATTTTCAAGGGGGGGGGGGGAAGAATTCTAACCCCCTGAACCCCAACTTGGCTCTGCCATTGCCAAACATTAACTTCAATGTTGTCTTTAGTCATTTTCAAAAGGGGATCCACCGCTGGATCCGCCACTGGGTGGAATTAGCTTGTACTTACATCTATAAGATATCATGAGGTCTGCGAGATGTCAGTATTAAGTCTCTCAGACTATGAAGTATAAAATCAGTGGTATAACATCTGAGATTCAGCCATGAATACATATTTGAGCAGCTGTGTTAAGTCTCTGAGATTCATCTGTACCTATGTGAGAGGTACCAGCTATACATTTAACATTATTTAGAGACTGATTGTTTGTTACAGAGTCGGGGCGGGGAGTGGAGTGGTGAAATTGGTCATAGGACTTTCATATTTGTCTGTCCCCTCTCCTGCCCCATGTTGTAGTAATTAGTTTTGAGGCCCTGGTTTCTTTTGTTGTGTCATTCTTTCCTGCCACCTTTCCTGTGATAGATGAGGCAATATATTAGTCCTTCTTTGAGCAATATACATAAAAATTGATGTTGATGAAATAACTAAACGGATAACCTTATTGCACTATGATGAAAATCTTGAGATAAAAACTCAGATTAAAAAAAAAGTGAAATGTGATAAAAAATCAGGCAGTACATAGTAATGATGAGACCGACCTGTTAAAATCTACTATACACAAAAGAAGGTACATAGGCTTGTTGATATAAGACTGGCTGTCTGGCAGACCACATTACACAATTAACATACCGGGCTTGGAGGACTCTAAATCCAACATATTTGTGAAAATGAAATACAATATGTGGCCAAGCTGTGGTAAAACTAGAATTATTTGAATTTCTCACTTAAGTACCAGGCAGTTTTGGTGAGCCATGGCAACCAAATTAAAAAACACACGCTGCTTTTCTTCTCCGACAATTATGATGGTTTCAGTGTGTGTTTGTAAAATGTAATATTCAAAACAGTGTGAGATAATGGTAGCATGAAGTCAGGTACTGGTGGCATAGGTGGATCAGAAATTTTCAAAGGGGGTGGTGGGGGTGCTGGGGCAAGGAATTCTAACCCCTGAACCCCCAACTTGGCTCTGCCATTAAATATTAACTAATGTGTTCTTTAGTCATTTTCAAAAGGGGATCCGCCACTGGGTGGAATTAGCTTGTACTTACATCTATAAGATATCTGTCTGGCAACACATTGTTTTGTATCGTCCTTAAGATCTTAATATTTTTGTCATTTTATAATTTTATAGATATGTTCAGAATGAGTAAGATTCAGAGCCTTATGGCATTGTTTTTAAGGATAACAGAGGTTTTTTCCATTACTCTACAACCACTACCATGTTGTAGGTGAAGTTGTCGCTGGAGGAGCAGATCACAGACTTACAGAGTGACCTGAACAAATCAAAGATGTCGTCCTGCAAGAAGCAAGACGACACCAAGAAGCTTGGGGAGGAACTCCAGGGGGTGAAGAGGGTGAGTTCAGGGGACATTAAGCAGGGACATTTAGTCAAGATGCATCACCCCAGTTGTTTATTTTACAGATTTTACTTTGTAGAAATTGAGGGTCAGTTGTCTGATCTCTTGTCCAGCTGGGAATGTCACATGGCATCTGGTGTGCAGTGTGCCTTTCCTGAAAGTCAGTCAGGACTCCCATTCTTATTAACTTTTACAGTTCTGGCACCAAGATTGGTACATGGACCTTACTGCCAGATGAGCACTGAACCATCCCCAGTGGACCCTAATCTATGTCCTTGTCCGCTATTCTAGGTGAGCCAGGAACTGTCGATGGAGCTGGCATCAGTCAAGGCCTTCTATGAGCGTGCGCTGGAGCAGATCTCGCTGCTGGAGAATGGGAAGAAGATGCAACAACAGCACCAGGAGCTGGCAGAACAGGAGAAGAGGCGGCTGCAGGGCGAGGTGGACAGGCTGACTCAGGTAGGGTGGAGGTCACCGACATGACAAGGTCAGGCAGTTGGAGGTTGTGGACAAGACCTTAGCAGGGCTTGATTTAGTGCTTTGTTACTTGCACTGGTGCAACCCAAAGTGCAACCTAGTTATTAGTCTAAATTGCACCAGGTGGAAGTCAATTTTTGAGTGGGTAAACTTCTGAATAAAACATCTAAATAATTCAATAGCATATTTCTTTCATTACATATTCCAATAAAGGCAGTGCAACTGGAATTTGGCTGGTGCATCTTAGGTTGCACGGTGCAAGTAGGTGAACATCTATGAAATCGAGCCCTGCTTAGTCAAAGGGGCTGGAGGTCATTAACATGATCAAGGTCAGGAAACTGAAAAGGTCGGGGCCTTGAGGCTGTCAGAATCACTTTGTCAGAGTATGGATGGTGATGGAGAGTAAAACTGGGATTAAAGGTGCAACTGTTAAACAGGAAACAATAATACTGAGACATTAAGTCAGCCTGACTAACACTTTGTGGAGGAAATAACCTTTGTGTAATTGCTTGAGTAATGTCTGTCAAAAATCCCTGTCAGCCTACCAGGGTCTTGGTTCAGATATGTCATGCTTGTGGTGAAAGGGATCTATAACATACCTGGGTTTCCTAAGTCAGTCACAGATCTCATTGAATATCATGGACAGAGCACTTTAGCCAGGATCAAGTGTCCACTATACATCTCCTTGATCAGTTGTCAGCATTGTGTACCCCATTGTAGGCTTTGATTGGTCCTTGTGTAATGTCCAGTCTTAGTAGAGATTCATTCCATGTTACTAGCTGCTTGATGGACGGACTCGGGAAGACCGGAAGGGCCGTGAGGACCTGGAAGATAGCATGTCCCGGATGAAGGTGAGATGATCCTGGTCAGATTGTGGCCCTCGATACTCTTGACACAAGGTTCTGCCTACCTGTGAACCATTTAGAGCAGGTCCATCTACCTCGAGCTTGTCTCTTGGAATCATTTTATCTTGCTGTACAACATTTATGAACAGGCTTTAAGTGAATTTTGCCCTTTGGAATACCAATGTTAGAACAAAAGTTAGGGAATCTAATATCGTCAATCCAGTGGAATCCTTCTATAGCTGGTCTTCAGTGCTACACTATCTCATGAACATAATTGTTCCAATATTTCGATGATGTATTTGTGACTGTCATGTGCTCTATTGTGTAACATGTGTTTGGGTGTGTATGTATTTTTGTCGACTGAATGCTAACATTGGGTGTGGTTCTTTTATTCAGCTGATGCACTCAGCCAAAGTTTTAGATGGTCTGAGTAGGTTTGAGGTTTGTATAGCCACAGCGTTGATATGTGGGCTCTTGCAATGGCTTGATTTGCACTCCGTAGACTGCATCTAACTAATTACTTTCTCTTACCTCTATCTAATGCACAAACTACGGCTTCAAAATTGGTATGTGATGCTTCTTGGTATATTTTCGTAAGTAGATAATGTCAATATTCCTGAGAGAGAATTCAAGTAAACTTAACAACAATGCAGTAGTGCCAACTTGAATTTTTGGTTATCGTCTTAGAATGTTGTAGACAGGAGTAATAAGATGCCCAGGTAGATATCACTGTGTAGAGGTCCCCTATAGATCACTGGGAAACTGTAACATGGCCAGCGAGTCCACACTGGTTGTAGTTTTGTCTGGTTATAGCCCTGTCACCTTGATGATTTAGCCAGCGTATGTTGACGTATCAAAATCTCTGGAAAATGCTGTATACACTGAACTATCGATGTTTTTTTTTCAATGTTTGGCATACACATAGCGTATTCATAACGAGTTGGACATATATTATTGTTATTATATGGGTATTTATATAGCACTATAGTTCATCCCATCTACATGCGTGCTCAAAGTCCTTTGTTTCTTCCCCCTATCATTGGCTGTCAATCTCAATGGCACATCGTATTTTCAATTCCCACTCGCCGGGGATCATACAACTTGTGCAGCCACTGGGTACACCAAGTTATACATAACATATTAGTAAATTATAGAGAACGTTCAATAACTTACAAAAACTTATATCAACGAATGCTTAGCGTGTTGCTGTTGTTCACAACTTATGCCCAACGATAGTTATGCACAGTAGGCGGAAGCGTATTGCCGACGATCACGTGTCGTGGCCTATGAAAAGGTTTCTGCTCGACGATTCAAATCATAACCGCACTGGACATTGCAGTGTCAGCATCACTGTCACAGTATCAACATCACCGTATCAACATCACAATCATGCAAAAGAACTGCCAGTATGCCATTATACGGTAGCTGTACGTTAGAAACACATTTAGTAGGTTCTGTGGTGTCCGGAAAATGTCAAATACGTCTACATACGTCAGTATACGAGATAAGTTGATAAAAGTTACACATACATTCAAACCATAGGTTAGAAATAAATGTTGTGTACGATAGACATTATTTCGACTTATGAGTCGCGTGTAACATGTGTGAACAAGTCAAGTGTTAAATGATGGCATAACTTACCTTCAGCTTATTGCCCTTGTATGCAGGACATTGAAAATTGTGTGCATGCACAAAATTTTCCAGCGACCGCACCGTACTACGACATATACCAGCATGCTTCAGTGTGTGTTTAACTTATACAAAACTTACCCGTAACTTTTTCGATGTACACCAGTTTATTCATCAAATTTTCCATACGTCAGCATACTCTGGATAAATCGTCTAGGTGTGACAGGGCCTTTACAGGCATGTCAGGGTTTGAGGGGCATTCATATTGCCCACACAAATCAAGGAGCAAACAAAGGTTTTACTTCATCCATGCACCCTGATGCACACCCGAACACCTTGGTACACCTGAACTCTTGTGTGAACACTTCCTCTGTGAACACTTCCTGTGTGAACACCTCAACTCTGTACACCTGTAAGGGACGTGTATTGATGATACACCTTTTCCTCCATGAATGAGTCTGTCACAGCTAACATGGTACTGGTATTGTAAGAGGAGCTCCAGGTGGTGGTAAGTCAGGAGACATTGTCAGAATGAGATCAGTCCTTGAGAATGGGGACCTCTACACTCTGTGTGTGTCTGTTTGTGTTTAACATTTCATTAGCTAGTTTGAATGTTTTAATTGTCTAGTCTAGCAGTTTGATTTAGTGTACCCAGCTGTAGCTTCAGGCAGATAGGAGACAGATTTCTGTGTCATTTATTTCTTGTCATTCAGTTTCATTCAGCAGCTCATCACAGCCCATGTTGTTTACTGTTTGTGTCTCGGTGTGCTTGTGACGGTCAGATAACACTACTAGGCTGTGCTGCCACTGTCAGCCTGTTGACGCCAGCTTACTGCATCTTGTATTTCATGTAGACGTATGATGGACATATAGGAAGATTTATACATTCTGCTGAGCTTTATTAACAAATGAATATGTTTACAACTCAAACAAGTTAAAGAGCATCTGATTCTGTCATATGACTGTAGTTAATCCGTTGATCTGTCATCAATAATAATGCAGTGTATTTGTGGAGTGCTAGACTCCATGCACTAGTGCATGCTCAAAGCGCTAAAAATTTGTTACAACCTGATCATTATTACCCCTGAGAACCCAAGCTGCCTGTTAGGCACTAGAAGGTTATAGTCACATGACTTATCCCACCGGGTACCCATTTGTCTGCAGGGTGAACAGAGGCAATTTTGAACAAACTCACTTGCCTAAGGTGAGAGCACATGTGTCACATGTGCTTCGTTGTGGGGCAGGACTCAAGTCCTAAAACTCTCAGGAGTCAAACACGGTCACCCATTGAAGGACTCTCCGCATTACATTACAAGTCATATTCACTGCCATGATTCACTATAGTAATATGCAAGAACCATCTGTTCTTTAACTTCCTTTGAGAGTATATGTTCAAATGTATGTGTATAGTTTGTGATACCTATTAACATAATTAGCACTTGAGATATCCACCCCATCAAACAGCAAACAGAACACATACTGGGAATTAGACAGTGATACTGGAGGCCAAACATATTTACACCACACACTTCTGTCATTGTTCATCCATTGGGAAGAATATTTATTATCAATGGTGAGTTGTTTAGTGCTGAATGACTTAATTTTGAAAATTCAAGTGGCCAATGAGATTAACAAGGTTGTCCTCAGGGTAGATGCAGAGATATGAGTATCAGAGTGAGGTTAGGCAATGGGTGAGGGCTGATGAGTGTGTCAGTTGTGGTAATGTGTCATTTATGATACTATTAGAATAATGTGTAACATCGTGTACAGACTATGTAGATGATGTGATAGTAAATATTTTAGGTAATCTATTTGTGAATTTACAGTAGTATTTGTTTAGTAGTCTTCACAGACCTGTAACTGCACCAGCATAGTGTAAAATACTTATGTTTGAGTTTAGCCCATACTTAGTTGGTCTCTTAAAGATTAATGAACATCTGTTTTCTTTCAGTTTTTGTATGCAGTTCATCCATTTAAAATATTTTACAAGGTGGAATAAAACTTATGAGAAGTCTTCATATTTCTTCATTCCCAGTCTATTTTTATATTCATTTCCCACTTATAATCATTTTAGGGAAGGAAAATCTATTCACTAATTTAATAGAAAAATACTTCCCTAATATGAGAACTTTAACTTGTGCACTGTTTTAAGTTACACCCAATAGATCCAATATACATGCTTAATTTTGTTTAATATATTTCAAAATTATCTATTTCATCAACCTACCCAGTGGTATTGAAATGTAAATCTGAGAAACATTAAGGTTTCCATTTTGTATATCATACAATAAAAGTATGAGTAAAGGTATGGGTTTTTGATGTCAGAATTTCAGGGGCCTTTGTTTCTTACAGCTTTGGCTAGTAGTTGAATATAGGGAACTGCTAACTTTTTGATGTACATTATGCTTAATGGAAAAATTCCCTTGCATTCCATTCTGTATTTCCTAGTGGAGTGACGATTCATCAATACGCATCGATCCATATGCAGCCGATATAGTGAATTGATACACGGTTTTACATTGTCGTATATACCGATATGATGCTTCAAATGGGCCATGATACATCAATGTTTTACCGAATATTGCCGAATCACGATATCTGTCAAGAAAGACTTACTTGTGTTTGATGATTAAAATATATGCATACTTATTTTCCCTTCATACGTTTCTCGGAAATTCTTGCGTCAGGAACTGTGTCAGACATAGCGCTCGCATTTTATTAACATTCACAAAGTCTGTGTCTTAATTATCTCATTTCCGAATGACCATTGAAAAACGCTGGCGGAATTTGACGAAATGCTTTAAAAAAGTTTTGTTATTATCTTAAGCTGTTTTATAGTAGGTATTAGAATTAAAGATTTTAGTATCGTGATACATATCGTATCGCCACCCTTGTATCAGGATTCGTATCGTATCGCAGCTTAAATACACAATACTTTGGCGATATATTGTCGTGACTAAAATTTCAGTATCGTGATGTATCCTATCGCAGGTTGTATGCCAATACCAGCACTAGTATTTCAAACACTAGGAATTCCTGCTGAGATCTATGTTGGCTTTTTAAACTCATCCCTGCACACACTGTAGTAATATTGTATAGTTGTGTATAGCTCCCCATGTTCCACCATGTTCCACCATGTGCTCAGTGCTGTGTGTGTTGTGTACAGAGTGATCTGAAGCAGCTGCGGAACGAGAAGGCCCAGACAGACAACTACAACAGGGAGCTGGAAATGGTGGGTCACAGTAACACTGAGGTGTCCTGACGTATACTTTTGTTGTTAGTTTCTGTGTTTCACTTTGTGTGGACACAAGTACTCACAGCCATGATGACCTGACCTGATTGTCCCTGCTTGTCTCCATGTTTCCCACGGTTTCATCAACCACGGTGTCCTGGGAGCTCTCATGTTCTGATAGTATTGACAAAAATGTAGTTTAGAAACTCAGATGTTTATAGCCTACCATTCTAAAAGAGTGGATCATATGTTACTGTTGTTGCCTTTTATCCTTCTTCTATGAAAAAAAACTGTGCTCAAAGATAAAGTGTTGTTTCAAAATGTGTACTATGTGAAACATGCTGGCGATTGACAAACATGACCCCATGTCGTAACAGAAACTACAGCGAGCAAATGAGGAGATCCGGAGGACGTCCACCATCCAGCAGGAAGAGATGGTGACGTGGAAGCTGACGTGCGAGCGACTTACAACTGCTGTGGCAAGGAAAGAGTCGGAGCTGCAGAGTCTGACAGACAAGTGTCATGATACTGAGTCCATTGTAAGTTAGACTGACTGAGTTTGGTTTTATGCCGCTTTTAGCAATATTCCAGCAACATCACGGCTGGGGAACACCAGAAATGGGCTTCACACATTGTACCCTTGTGGGGTGTAAGTTAGAGACAGGAGTTACTGCATGACACATTATTTGAATATTCTAATGAGGATTAACATGATATGTGGTAGGTCACTGCTTCAAAACCTGCGCAGAGGGGATGAATTTTTTTCACAGCTGTTATATTTTCAGGACATCAGCATCAGTTGTACCTGATAACAAAGTTTTTTCCAGTTGCTTAAATTTTGTTGCAAGGTCACGTGTCAAGGTCATGGAGATAGAACGAAACTTGCCAAAAAGATTGAGATCACATTTCTACTGCAGTTGGTGCAGCAGTTAACAATATACATGGTATATTAGTACTCTAGGATGGGTCTAAGATTTGAAAAGGGTTCGGTCAAGGTCAGTCAAAGGTTAAGGTCAGCGTTCAGTTTTTTTTTGAAAACATGATTATATAAATGTCAGTTTCTGTGGCATTCTTACCTCTCTACAAATAAGAAACTCTGGTTGCATGTATCTTTACAACTTCTTCAATGTTGATGCTATGTCGTGCAAAGGTCAAGGAAAGCTTTGATGTTATTTTGTTTCTTGAAGGTGAGAAGATTACAGGAAGAACTCAAGATAATCAGAGAACAGTACGAAACATTGGAAGACCAGAGAGATGACAGTGACAGGTGGGTACAGGTGATAGTGACAGGTGGGTACAGGTGATAGTGATGGGTGGGTACAGGTGATAGTACAGGTGATAGTGACAGATAGATGTGACAGGTGGGTACAGGTGATAGTGACAGGTGGGTACAGGTGATAGTGATGGGTGGGTACAGGTGATAGTGACAGGTGGGTACAGGTGATAGTGACAGGTGGGTACAGGTGATAGTGACAGGTGGGTACAGGTGACAGGATACTGATACTGACAGGTGGGTACAGGTGATAGTGACAGGTGGGTACAGGTGATAGTGACAGGTGGGTACAGGTGATAGTGACAGGTGGGTACAGGTGATAGTGACAGGTGGGTACAGGTGATAGTGACAGGTGGGTACAGGTGATAGTGACAGGTGATGAGTGACGGGTGGGGTGATACAGGTGATAGGTGACAGGTGTGTACAGGTGATAGTGACAGGTGGGTACAGGTGATACTGACAGGTGGGTACAGGTGATACTGACAGATGTGGTGGGTACATGTGATACTGACAGGTGGGTACAGGTGATACAGGTGACAGGTGGTTACAGGTGATACTGACAGATGGAGTACAGGTAATACTGACAGGTGGTTACAGGTGATAGTGACAGGTGGGTACAGGTGATAGTGACAGGTGGGTACAGGTGATAGTGACAGATGTGTACATGTGATAGTGACAGATGTGTACAGGTAATACTGACATGTGGGTACAGTGGATACACAGGTTACAGGTGATGATAGTGACAGGTGGGTACAGGTGATAGTGACAGGTGATAGTGACAGGTGGGTACAGGTGATACTGACAGGTGGGTACAGGTGATACTGACTGGTGGGTACAGGTGTTACTGACAGGATGTGTACAGGTAGGATGTGTACAGGTGATAGTGACAGGTGGGTACAGGTGATAGTGACAGGTGGGTACAGGTGATAGTGACAGGTGGGTACAGGTGATAGTGACAGGTGGGTACAGGTGATAGTGACAGATGGGTACAGGTGATAGTGACAGGTGGGTACAGGTGATAGTGACAGGTGGGTACAGGTGATAGTGACAGGTGGGTACAGGTGATACTGACGGTGTGTACAGGTGATAGTGACAGGTGGGTACAGGTGATAGTGACAGATGTGTACAGAGTGATACTGACAGGTGGGTACAGGTGATAGTGACAGGTGGGTACAGGTGATAGTGACAGGTGGGTACAGGTGATACTGACAGGTGGGTACAGGTGATAGTGACAGGTGGGTACAGGTGATAGTGACAGGTGGGTACAGGTGATACTGACAGGTGGGTACAGGTGATACTGACAGGTGGGTACAGGTGATACTGACAGGTGGGTACAGGTGATAGTGACAGGTGGGTACAGGTGATACTGACAGGTGGGTACAGGTGATAGTATTGGACAGGTGGGTACAGGTGATAGTGACAGGTGGGTACAGGTGATACTGACAGGTGGGTACAGGTGATACTGACAGGTGGGTACAGGTGATACTGACAGGTGTGTACAGGTGATACTGACAGGTGGGTACAGGTGATAGTGACAGGTGGGTACAGGTGATACTGACAGGTGGGTACAGAGGTGATAAGTGACAGGTGGGTACAGGTGATACTGACAGATGGGTACAGGTGATACTGACAGGTGGGTACAGGTGATAGTGACAGGTGGGTACAGGTGATACAGGTGATAACGTGTGACAGGTGGGTACAGGTGGGATAGGTGACAGGTGCGTGCAGGTGATACTGACAGGTGGGTACAGGTGATAGTGATAGGTGGGTACAGGTGATAGTTACAGGTGGGTACAGGTGATAGTGACAGGTGGGTACAGGTGATACTGATAGAAAGGTACAGGAAAAAGTGAATAATGGTTAGTGTTTCATACTGATTTGATGTTTTTGTCTTGTAAGACTACGATCTGACAACAGACGTATGCACCAGGAGAGGGCTGAGAATGAGCAGATGATCAAACTCCTGGAAACCCAGAAGGAAGTCCTCACAAAGAGTGTGAGTATATTACAGTCAGTATGCGAGTGTGAGTTAGTTCTCACTAACATCGTCTCAGGAATATTTTAACATAGGTTCTCAGATATTCTCCTGTTCCGTTAGACATTACCTATCTGAAGTGGTCCGAAGGCTGTTTAAGTCAGGTCTTTAATAATTCATTATATATCCTGAGTTGCATTGTTTGTCTTGTGTTGCTATGAAAGAATCACTGACTGTTTCTTTATCCCACAGACTGAGAGCAGCCTGAACAAGTTGCATGACGTGGACCATCTCAGTGGCAAGGTGGAGCAGTTCCGTTCAGAGAATGAGCTTCTTAGGTAGTCTTGAGTCATTAGTACAGACTTAGTGACTGTGGGGATGACAACTACTGTGTCTTGTTTCAAGGGAAGCAGCACATTTGTTTCCATGCATACTATTTCTATAGTCACCAAGACCCAATTCTGTTCCTAAGAGGCACCTAGTATAATGGGATGGGGGATAGCAGTGTATGACCTGATGAATGTTTAAACCCTGACAGTGTGGATCCTGCTATCAACAACTGGCTTGCCTGTCCAGGCATCAGTATTACTACCTGCCCTGATATATTACTGACAAGTGCAGTATTGTATCTTTGTTATGTGGTCGTTAAAAGTGACTGTGTTCCTTGACTGTGGATATGTTCAGTGATGTTACTGCATTCTGTGATGATGTGCTCAGTGACTATTACAATGTTCAGTGACTGTTGCAATGTTCAGTGAATTGTTACAATGTTCAGTCACTGTTGCAGTGTTCAGTGATTGTGGCAATGTTCAGTGATTGTTGCAATGTTCAGTGATTGTTACAATGTTCAGTGATTGTTACAATGTTCAGTGACTGTTGCAATGTTCAGTGACTGTTACAATGTTCAGTGATTGTTACAATGTTCAGTGATTGTTGCAATGTTCAGTGACTGTTGCAATGTTCAGTGACTGTTACAATGTTCAGTGACTGTTGCAATGTTCAGTGACTATTACAATGTTCAGTGATTGTTGCAATGTTCAGTGACTGTTGCAATGTTCAGTGACTGTTGCAATGTTCATTGACTGTTAATGTTTGTAGAGCCCGCATCATGGAGCTGGAGAAGGTTCGGGACAACCTCATCAAGCAGAAGGAGGATGTTCTGGTAGGTTGTCTTGTGTTTCTTGTATAAAATATCTTAGAATAAATGAGCACCAATGACTATTAAATCAGAAAAATTTAATCACAGATTCTGAAGTCCTCTGCCATGATATTGCTGGAATATTGCTAAAAGCGGCGTAAAACCCAACTCACTCACTCACTCCTAATCACAGAACGTATTAGATTATATGTTGCCATACCATTATTGTGGACTGACTGAGGACACATAAATCACCATTACTGTTTGATGACCTAAGACTAGACTCACATGAGACCCTTACCATGATATGACCTAGGATGTTGTGTGTACAGGCCAACAGTGAGCTGATCTACAAGAAGCCTGGCCTGGGTGATTTAGAACACAAGACTGAGGAACTGAGGGCTGCCAATAAACAGCTGCGCGAGATCAACGATGTCATGTCGGACAAACTGGAGGTTGTGGAGCAGGTAAAGGAGCCATAGCCTTTTTCAAGTATATGGGAAAATAATGTACAATTTCATTTTTAAGAATTTATTAATTCTATTATGAAAAATAATTTTCAGAAAATATTCAGAGCATGAAAGATATATGTTGATGCGTAATTCTTTTTTTCGTGTCTTCTCAGGAAAATGCAAAATTAAAACAGGCAATTGGTGGGCAGTCAAGTACCAGTGAGGAAAGGTAGGTAGGAAACTGACAGTTGATATTTATGTAATCTCTATGTTGTATTGTTCAAAGCGGTGTTAAGTTAAACTCACTCACTATTAAAGTTATGTCATTCTATTTTTTCCATATTCAGTTCCCAGAGCTAACTTGGCAGTCATAGTGACTTGTAGGTGTGAATTGGGTGGATGTATCCTTGGGAAGGAATGTTGTCAGTATTATCTATTATTTTAGTTCATGGTCAAACTCTGCTATTTGCAGACTACAGAGAGAAAACAGAAAGATCAGTGAAGATTACTCCAACCTGAGAAAGGATTATGAGAGTCTGGAGTCTCGACATCAGCGGATGATCATTAACTACGGCCACGAGGAGACGCTGGAGAAAGGTAGGCTGGTCTTGATAAGCAGTTGTGTCCTCAGTTAGTCAGATGTGCCTTAGTCACTGTAGGTATGTTTGATAGAAGACACTACTCTGTCTTGGTAGAAGAGTCACTGTGGGCTTGTACATGTTAGTCAGATGTGCCTTAGTCACTGTAGGTATGTTTTGATAGAAGACACTACTCTATCTTGGTAGAAGAGTCACTGTGGGCTTGTACATGTCTTGATAGGAGAAGACACCATTGAGACATGAATGTTCCACTCCTCTATCTTGGTAGAAGTGTCACTGTGGGCTTGTACATGTCTTGATAGGAGAAGACAGCATTGAGTCATGTATGTTCCACTCCTCTATCTTGGTAGAAGTGTCACTGTGGGCTTGTACATGTCTTGATAGAAGACAGCATTGAGTCATGTATGTTCCACTCCTCTATCTTGGTAGAAGAGTCACTGTAGGCTTGTACATGTCTTGATAGGAGAAGACACCATTGAGGCGTGAATGTTCCACTACTCTATATATCTTGGTAGAAGAGTCACTGTGGACTTGTACATGTCTTGATAGAAGACAGCATTGAGTCATGTATGTTCCACTCCTCTATCTTGGTAGAAGAGTCACTGTAGGCTTGTACATGTCTTGATAGAAGACAGCATTGAGTCATGTATGTTCCACTCCTCTATCTTGGTAGAAGAGTCACTGTGGGCTTGTACATGTCTTGATAGAAGACAGCATTGAGTCATGTATGTTCCACTACTCTATCTTGGTAGAAGTGTCACTGTGGGCTTGTCTTCATAGGAAGTGTCAAGTTATGACACCAGTGAGTCAGGTGTGTTCATTTGTGCATGGCACTACTGCAGTGAAGAGGGGCATCGCTTCGCAGTGTCAGTTAAAATTCTGTGAGACCCAGATGCTGGCTTTCGCGAAATAGTAAATGTATACAACCTGCACCATTTTGTACATTCCTTCCTCATTAAGCATAATATAAATGAAATTCAGTTCAACTCAATGCGTATTGGCAAGAGCATCAGATGTGGCTCATTTATTCTTTGACTAACTTAACCGCCTCCGTGGTGTAGTGGTTAGAGCGTCCACAGGACGGAGAGCCGGAAGGTCATGAGTTGATCCCCGACCGCGTCATACCAAAACACGTTAAAATATGGTACTTGTTGGTCCCTGCCTGGCTTCGGCATTAATGGGTAGAACAAGGACTGGTCGGCTTTGGAGTCAGTATAATGTGTCTGAGTGGGGTGCTTCACTGCGGCATGGTATCTCAGTGGGCTAGCACTATAAAACCAGCTTCAGTCTGGGCAGTCACATGCACACGCATGCTCATATGGCCTTCGAAATATTCTCAAACACGACGATAAACCCAATTTCAACTCACCTCACCTTTGACTAACTCATTATTGTACTGTGTATTGTATTGTGTCTCTTATCTTCGACACAGAACAGGACATTGTGGACCAGTTGTTCCAGACTGTTGATCATGATTCTTGTCTTTCTTCTTATCTGCCCAGACAAGCAGGACATGGTAAAGCTCCGCCCAGGGGAGAGAGGCGCCCTCCAGAAACAGGTACAACTCCTGAATGGTCAGCTGGTGCTGGTTGAGGGCAGCAAGAAGCGGCTGGAGGACACAGTCACACAGCTACAGGAGACCATCTCCAGACTCAAGGCCAAGATCACAGAGAAGCCCACAGGGTAAGGATCATGTACTGTAACAGAGGCCCACAGGGTAAGGATCATGTACTGTAACAGAGGCCCACAGTTTAAGGATCATATACTGTAACAGAGACCCAATCCAGGGTAAGGAATCACATACTGTAACCAGCCCTCAGGGTAAGAATCATGTACGGCAACAGAGGCCCACAGGGTAAGAATCATGTATTGTAACAGAGACCCACAGGGTAAGGAAAATGTTCTGTAACAGAGGCCTACAGGGTAAGGATCATGTACTGTAACAGAGACCCACGGGGTAAGAATAATATACTGTAACAGAGGCCCACAGGGTAAGAATAATATACTGTAACAGAGGCCCACGGGGTAGGAATAATATACTGTAACAGAGGCCCACAGGGTAAGAATAATGTACTGTAATAGAGGCCTACAGGGTAAGGATCATATAAAGGGTAGCAGCTATTGTTCAGGGCATTATCATTTGCAGAAACCTTAGGTCTTTCTTTAACTGCCCAACAAAGGAGGGCAGTTGAAAAGACAGAGGAGCTTCTGCAAATGATAATGCCCTAATAAGTAACTTTCCCTTATTATAACTAAAATGGAAGAATTTAAAAATAAATAAAAAGAAAGCAACGGTATCGGTTTTGAAGCATTTACTGCTAACAACAAGCGACGGAGGTCACTGACCCACTTTTACAAATATGGAAATGTCATAGAACAAAACAGATGGCGTCACTATTGGCGTGGCGTCATTCGACTATGACCTTTGCCCATACTACCAGCCAACATATTTTTCATTGCTCAACAACGTTTGAGTTCCTGTCGATATTTTCATTACTGCATGTTGTAATTTATGGTAAAATTGTTAAGGTTGGCACCCGGTAAGAAAGTGCATAATGGCACAGGTACATGTGACCCGAATGTGAGTCGAAATATCGTCAGAAATGAACCCGAAATTCAAAGCGAGTCATAGGTGATTGAGCAATAAGATTTGAGCTACTTATGGCGTCACCTAACAACAGGCTTGATAATGGCCCGTCGTCAAGCAATTTGGGGGCATTATCAAGTTACAGTGGCCTTCTCCTTTCCGATAACGTGCAGGCGTTTGAATGATAATTCTATCCATTTTAGCTATAATGTACTGTAACAGAGGCCCACAGGGTAAGGATCATGTACTGTAACAGAGACCTACAGGGTAAGGATAATGTTCTGTATCAGAGGCCCACGGGGTAAGAATAATGTTCTGTAACAGAGGCCCACAGGGTAAGGATAATGTACTGTAACAGACCCACATTGTAAGGAAAATGTGCTGTAAGAGGCCCACATTGTAAGGATAATGTTCTGTAACAGAGGCCCATGGGGTAAGAATAATGTTCTGTAAAAGAGGCCCACAGGGTAAGGATAATGTACTGTAACAGACCCACATTGTAAGGAAAATGTGCTGTAAGAGGCCCACATTGTAAGGAAAATGTGCTGTAAGAGGCCCTCGGGTACATTGTAAGGATAATGTACTGTAACAGAGACCTACAGGGTAAGGATAATGTTCTGTAAAAAGAGGCCCACGGGGTAAGGATAATGTTCTGTAACAGAGGCCCATGGGGTAAGAATAATGTTCTGTAAAAGAGGCCCACAGGGTAAGGATAATGTACTGTAACAGACCCACATTGTAAGGAAAATGTACTGTAACAGACCCACATTGTAAGGAAAATGTGCTGTAAAAGAGGCCCACATTGTAAGGATAATGTGTACTGTAACAGAGACCCACAGGGTAAGGATAATGTTCTGTAAAAGAGGCCCACGGGGTAAGGATAATGTACTGTAAAAAGCCGACCCACAAGGGGCAAGGGAAATATACTGTAACAGGCCCATGGAGGGGTAAGGGAAATATACTGTAACAGAGGCCCTTTCACAGAGGCAGAGAGACAGGTCCAAGTATTAGGTGAGTGTCATATTTTGTGTTACAACATGATAATGTTGAGATGATGTTTTTATTGACAGTATGGATGGACTTTCTCCTTGGTGAGCAGGGACAGAGATCCTACTACATATTTGTTACATGTTCCTCAATGAAAGGTTTGGGAGTTTTAGATCATCAACAAGCTGGCCATTTATCACTGGTTATTCCTGTTTGAACATCCAGATGTACTCCTTGTTCCACAGATCTGACTTGGGAGTTCAGAAGCTGGAAGGCGAGGTGAAGTCTCTCAAGGATAAACTGTCCAAGTCAGAGGCTGCCAAGCAGAAGCAGGATCAGGCTGTGAAAAGCTTGAAAGATGTATGTGTATATCATGTACCATTGGGCTCAAGTCAGTGTCCAAGAATCAGCATGTTATAGAATATGTTGTCATGATTGTTGAGTGTAGTCACACATCCTGAAGTCCAGGGTAGAAGGCCTGTAGTCTAACATCCTGTAAGCTTGCAGTTAGTCAAATTATCCATGGCTTAGACACTTCTGATGAAAAGTAATCAGTGAAGTCCAGGGTATATGTGTAGAAGTCCTGTAGTCTAACTTTTAATGAGAAAGTTAGTTTTGCATATATTATAGTCCATAATTGTTGAGAGAATATATTGGTCTGCCAGAATGATGGAGCAGTCTGCAGTGCTTGCAGTGGACATAAAAAATAATCAGTTACAGCTTGAGGACTCACCTTCTACCTGTCTGCTGCTTGTCAGTATGTAGTCACCTGCTTGATCAGTCCTCCACCTGATCCCTCCTCTTCCATCACATCGATGTCACCAGTCATCCTCTGTATTACCTTCCCTGTTCTCTGCTTCTCACAGTGCCGACATGTCTTTGTGCCATACCAGAGCCCTGGGATCCGTTTCACAAAGCTATCATAGCGCTACGACTGTCGTGAGTCTGTTACAGTATAGGAGGTACGACAGTCGTAACGCTATGATAGATTTGTGAAACGGGGTCCAGGTTCACAAACTGAACCTCGTGCTACAACTGTCTGCGTTCTGGTCTTCCGGCCTTTGTAGTGGCGTGATCACTTTGTGAACGTGGGCCTCTCTGTCCCTCATGACCTGCTTGTATGTAGTGAAATGGTAGCTTCTGTTGTCCACTGTGACCCTCCTGACTTGCCACTACTCCTGACTGACGTGCTTGTACGTAGTGACAGAGTAGTTTCTGTTTTATCTCATTAGGAGCTGGAGGAGGAGAGGACCAAGAAACCTTCACAGATACGGGTTTGCACTTTGCCTTTTTTGTTCATCTATGTTTTATAATTTTGCTGTGATAAGAAAGGATGCTTATATTTTGGTTGGTTTTAATTACTTCAAGGGAAATGTGGTAAGGATGGGAAGGTAGGTGTATCAGGTTGGAGTAATGAGTAGAGGGGAAGGTAGGGTGGATCAGTTTGGGGTGGAGTAGAAGGTAGGGGGATCAGTTTGGGGTGGAGTAGAAGGTAGGGGGATCAGTTTGGGGTGGAGTAGAAGGTAGGGGGATCAGTTTGGGGTGGAGTAGAAGGTAGGGTGGATCAGTTTGGGGTGGAGTAGAAGGTAGGGGGATCAGTTTGGGGTGGAGGAGAAGGTAGGGGGATCAGTTTGGGGTGGAGTAGAAGGTAGGGGATCAGTTTGGGGTGAAGGAGAAGGTAGGAATTATCAGTTTGGGGTGGAGGAGAAGGTAGGGGGTCAGTTTGGGGTGGAGTAGAAGGTAGGGGGATCAGTTTGGGGTGGAGTAGAAGGTAGGGGGATCAGTTTGGGGTGGAGTAGAAGGTAGGGGTATCAGTTTGGGGTGGAGTAGAAGGTAGGGGGATCAGTTTGGGGTGGAGGGGAAAGGTAGGGGATCAGTTTGGGGTGGAGTAGAAGGTAGGGGGATCAGTATGGGGTGGAGTAGAAGGTAGAGGGATCAGTTTGGGGTGGAGTAGAAAGGTAGGGGGATCAGTTTGGGGTGGAGTAGAAGGTAGGGGTCAGTTTGGGGTGGAGGGGAAGGTAGGGGATCAGTTTGGGGTGGAGGGAAAGTAGGGGGGGATCAGTATGGGGTGGAGTAGAAGGTAGGGGATCAGTTTGGGGTGGAGTAGAAGGTAGGGGGATCTGTTTGGGGTGGAGTAGAAGGTAGGGGGATCAGTATGGGATGGAATAGAAGGTATAGGGATCAGTTTGGGGTAGAGAGAAGGTATAGGGGATCAGTTTGGGTGGAGGGAAGGTAGGGGTATCAGTTTGGGGTGGAGGAGAAGAAGGTAGGGGTATCAGTTTGGGGTGGAGGAGAAGGTAGGGGGAGTGGGAGTAGTTTGGGGTGGAGGAGAAGGTAGTGGGGATCAGTTTGGGGTGGAGGGAGAAGGTAGGAGGCTGAGCTATCAGTTTAGGGGATGAGTGGAGGTAGGAGTGTTGATCAGGGGGATCAGTTTGGGTGATGTGGAGGGGAAGGTAGGGGATCAGTTTGCGGTGGAGGGAAAGAGTAGGGGGATCAGTTTAGGGTGGAGGGTGAGGTATGTTGATCAGGGTAGGAGATGAGTGGAGAGATATGCTGATCAGTAGGGTGGATCAGTTTGGGGTGGAGGGTGAGGGTGAGGCATGGTATGGTGATGAGTGGAGGGGTGATTATATGTTGATCAGGGGTAGGGTGATGAGTGGAGGGTGAGGTGTGTAGGATGAGGGTGTTGAAGTCAGTGATGAGTGGAGGGTGAGGTATGTTGATCAGGTATGGTGATCAGGTTATGTTTGATCAAGGGTAGGGTGATGAGTGGAGGGTGAGGTATGTTGATCAGGGTAGGGTGTTTGGGAAGTGGAGGATGAGGTATGTTGATCAGGGTAGGGTGTGGAGGTGGAGGAGGGTATGATGATGAGGTGATGAGGGTGATGAGTGGAGGGTGAGGGTGATGAGTGGAGGAGTGAGGTATGTTGATCAGGGGTAGAAATGGGTGAGGGGATGAGGTAGGGGGTGATGATGTTGATCAGGTGAGGGTGATGAGTAGGGTGAGGTATGTTGATCAGGTTAGGGGTGATGAGTGGAGGTGTGAGGTATGTTGATCAGGGTAGGGTGATGAGTGGAGGGTGAGTGGAGGGTGAGGTATTTTGATCAGGGTGGGGCCATGAGTGAGTAGGGGTGAGTGGAGTAGGGTATGTTGATCAGGGGGAGGGTAGGTGTAATGAGGTAGAGTGTAGGGTAAGGTATGTTGATCAGGGTAGGGTGATGAGTGGAGGGTGAGGTATGTTGATCAGGGTAGGGTGATGAGTAGAGGGTGAGGTATGTTGATCAGGGTAGGGTGATGAGTGGAGGGTGAGGTATGTTGATCAGGGTAGGGTGATGAGTAGAGGGTGAGGTATGTTGATCAGGGTAGGGTGATGAGTGGAGGGTGAGGTATGTTGATCAGGGGTAGGGTAATAGGCAGTAGAGGGGGGGTGAGGTATGTTGATCAGGTAGGGGTAATAAGCGAAAGGGATAGTAGATGATATTTATTGTAGGGACTTGCACAATGATGAAGGGATAATGATGTCGGCTGTGTAAGGAAGGGTATACTGTGCCTTTCAGTTTTGTCATAAGGAGTCAAGCATATCAAATGTAACTATCACAGATTTGTTTTAATTCGCTCAGTTTATTTTTATCCGTCTGCTTGTAATATTTTCTTTTCCTTTTCTTTCTTATCAATATGCATGTGCACATGCTTATGTATGGTCATTTACATCCCAGTTTTGAGTGTCTGAAATGAGGTCCTCTGACTGCAGCAGTGTCTTGAGGGGTCAGTGGTTATTGTGTTCTATTCTAGCAGTTGCTGATTGTTGTGGGAGTTGGTGTGTTGTTACAGTTGTTCTTGTCGTTGCTGCAGGAGTCGCTGGAAGATGTTGGGGAAGAGCTGCACCAGATGAGGGGGGGAGCTCCACAAGCTGATGGAGGAGATTGAGAGGAAGGACCGGGAGATCTCATCTCTGGAGAATGAGCTCAGGAAGACAAAGGAGGAACTAGATCTCAAGTAGGTAGTGGCCACTGGACACAGATCAAGGACATCTTGCACATGACTGTAGCATTGCTATCTCCTGGTGCAAGTGGTTGATGGACACAGATCTGGGACAACTTGCTCGTGATCTACATGAATAGAAAATCTTGTCACAGGGAGCAAGTAAATTCTGATCTGAAAGATTATTGAAAATTTGGATTGAATAATGAAAATGGCAATTTCTGAAATGTAAGCTTATGAAATAATGAGTGGCTGGGAACATCAGACCATAGATATACAATATCTGTCACTCTGTTTTAGGGATCCATTGGATAACTGCTCCAACATGACCTTTCAGGAATCTGTACCTTAAGTTCCCTCTTTGTTTCGGGGATCTATAGCATCTCTGTTTTGGGGATCTATATCTAACCTTCTCTTCTCTGTCCCAGCATTCTGTACATTAAGTTCCCTCTCTGTTTTATGTTTCAGGGATCATGGAATTGGTGACCTTCGCAAACTAGTGGAGGACTTGGAGAAGCAGATTGAAAGTCTGAAACGGAACAGGGGCAGCCAGAATGATGAGTAGGTGTTACCTTGATAGCACACTTCCTCTGAATTATGACTATTTAGTATTTCTGGTCTTGGAATGACATTTAGTGTACTTCTATTTAATCACAGTTTTTTTAATGGAGAATCATTAATAATAAACACATTGCCAGATATAAAATATTAAAATTTCATTTGAGGCTTAATGTTGGTCAGTCTTTGTGTGTTTGTCGTTAAATCAGCAAATTCTGGCGACACGATTGTTTGCAGATAAAGTAGATAATAATATATGTATTTCCTAGTTCCTATTTCCATCTTTATCCTTTTTTCGGAAAAGTACTTTTTATTTTTAAGCATGAATTGGATTACTTAGATGAATGTAAAACAAAGATATTACATGTGACTGATGAGGTTTGTTTGTTCTCAGATTGGACTCAGGTAACACTGTCCGGCTGACTCGTGGAAGTAAACTGCCAAAGCCTGCATCTAACTCTGCACCAAGTACAGTTGCTTTGCCTCACCATAGTACTAACAGCTTAGGCTGGGTGTTATAGAATCAGGTTGGGTTGGGGAGGGTCAGGGGTAGAGTGAAGAGCATCAGGACGGGTCAGGTTGGGTTGGGGTGACCAGGAAAGGTTGGCATGGTTTGGAGAGAGTCAAGATGGGTTGGAGGATATAAGATGGTTAAGAAAGTTTTGAGAGAGTCAGAAATGGTTGAGAACGGTTTTGGAGAATCAGGAATGATTGTGAAGGGTTTGGGATAATCAGGAATGGTTGTGAGAAGGGTTTGAGTGAGTCAGGAATGGTTGTGAAAGAGTTTGGGAGAATCAGGAATGGTTGTGAAGGGTTTGAGTGGAGTCAGGAATGGTTGTGAAGGGTTTGGGATAATCAGGAATGGTTGTGAAGGGTTTTGAGTGAGTCAGGAATGGTTGTGAAGGGTTTGGGATAATCAGGAATGGTTGTGAGAAGGGTTTGGGAGAATCAGGAATGGTTGTGAAGGGTTTGGGAGAGTCAGGAATGGTTGTGTAGGGTTTTAGAGAGTCAGGAATGATTGTGAAGGGTTTAGAGAGAGTCAGGAATGGTTGTGAAGGGTTTGGGAGAGTCAGGAATGGTTGTGTAAGGTTTTAGAGAGTCAGGAATGGTTGTGTAGGGTTTTAGAGAGTCAGGAATGGTTGGATAGTTTTGTGAGAATCAGGAATGGTTGTGAAGGGTTTGAGAGAGTCAGGAATGGTTGTGAAGGGTTTGAGAGAGAGTCAGGAATAGTTGAGAAGATGGATGCAGATGCTGCTTTATGCCTAGAGTTACAATAGAATGGACTTTGATCTAACTACTGTGTTAAACTTTTAGTCTTTTAAAGGTAAGACTTTTGTATAGATGACAACCCCTTCCTTCTGTTATGATGCAACATTCATCCTTTTAACTGTTGTCTGACATATATACATCTTATAGAGATTAACTGAAGCAACATGATGTGGTTGGAGGTCTTACCTAGGTAGAGATTCAGATAATTGCTGTTCAGGTTTGGTGGCAGCTGGTTTACATGCTTGGTGGAGAGTGGTGTTGATGATTTTGTCTACTTGCTTTGATGGGTAGTGCTTGAATGGGATGACTTCATGATGGAGGTGCCCAATTTCTGTGGTAGGAATGGTAGAGGAGAGATGACTGGTGAGGGTGGAGACTATGCCAGTTTTGTTTCTCTAGGGATGGTTGGATTCAAGATACATGTATTCATCAGAGTGAGCTGGCTTTTTGTAAACACTGGCTTAGATCTTTTTGAGTTGAAATGTTACATCATCATAGAAAAAGGAAGTTGTGATTCGTAAAATTATCTTGGCTTATTGTCACTCATCCACTTATAAAATGCCAGTGAAACAGATCACAATTATCCTCAGGTCCATTAAGTGCTGCTTGAATCTATTTCCCACATGTCTGCTTGATACAAGGTCAGAATATAGATCCCTAAGACTTGATAACAGGCTGCCTCAGTATATAACCCCAGTCACTGGTCATTTTGATCCCTTCATATAGAAAAGGTCAGGTGGACGAAGGGAGATAATTCTGCCAAGAAAAGGTTGAGCATGGTTGTTGAGACAGTTACTAACATTTGAAGTGTGCATATACAATGTGTTTGTTTACTGTAAGGAATAACATCAGTGTTTGCTGTGCAAATTATACATGATACTTTTAGATTTGTGGTATTAATTTGCTTGGTTTATAACTTTTTGATCCTGCACAATTGTAGCTCTCCTGGTCTGAAAGGCCATGTGAGACTGTCACTGCTGTGTCAGGATAGTCAATTAACAGTTTACATTGTAGACTTCTTCTCAGGAAATGACTTTATAGATTCGGTTCAAATATGTGTGTAAAAGTTTGTAAATGCATTTAAATGTATTATGGGCATAAAACATGACTTTCAATATGGCTGCAAAACAAAGGTTGCAATGTTTGATTTTTTAAATGAAAATAGAAAATATTCTTTTCTAAATGTTCTGTGGTGAGAGATCTGAAATCACATTTTAAGATGGTTCAAGACCTCTTACACACATATAATTATTGTTTTATGCAGTATTTGGAAAATATTAATGTTTGTTTTTTGAACAAGCTTTAAAATTCTCTCAAAAATCATTTTTGGCTCAGTAAAGTTCTTTTCCACTAAATGTTGGAATGCATAATTCTTTTCATGTCATCATTTTTGGTTCAAATCACTAAAGCACAAGATGTCAGCAACATATTTTTCTAGACTGTGATACTAATATGCTTCCATAACTTTTGTTAGCTGAGTGTGTTTGTTAGCACTGAGCACTGTTGACGGCATATCCAGGGCCCCGTTTCACAAAGCTCTTGTAGGCCTAAGATCTCCATAACTTTTCTCCTAGCATTTTGTACTTCCTTTGTTACAGTATAGGAAGTACAAATGCTACTGAAAACTACTGAGTTCTTAGGCCTACTGAGCTTTGTGAAACAAGGACTACTATTTCCCAGGGTTGAAATAAGATGGACAGGTCTGCAGACCAAGAATATAAGGAACATACCCCTTTATATACTGTTTGTGTGTGTGCCAGTCTGGACATAGTAACACAGCATCGCGTGTGTCATGGGGAGATCGTGTTCGGCATGCAGCTCACGAGGGTATAACACGTTGTTGATTTAACCACTGATTTACATTCTGACTGTGGTCTATAACATCATATAAAAGAGGCGATGTGGGGGTATTACTTTGTTAATAACATATGGTGCGGTGGGGTAGCCTAGTGGTTAAAGCGTTGGCTCTGTCGTAACACAGCGAAGGAGACATACAGGTTCTAGAATCCCCACATGGGGAGACATACAATATGTGAAGCCCATTTCTGGTGTCCTCCGCCCATTGATATTGCTGGAATATTGCTAAAAGCGTTGAAAACCAAACTCAGTCAGTCATATAAAAGAAGGAAACAAAGAATGTTTAGGAATGTATATTTATATATGTGAGACTGGTTTAAAACCCAGTGGCAAGTTTATTTCCGCTGTACCTTTGTTGCACAAAGCTGCTTCAGGATTCTATGTTAGGATTAGTCCCTTACAGCTTGTAGTAAAATGTAGTATTTTTCTCAGTAGAATAATTTACTTCATATCTCCTATTGTCAATCAGAGGTTTATCTGATCCAGGCCGCATTATAACATATAAGTCCAGTCTTTTAGCTGGAATATTGCTGAATACAGGGTTAAACAGATGATGTTATAGTTTCTACCATTATCCTCAGTATAATCACTGCTATGTTGACTTGTTTCTGGCTACAGGATCCCTGAAGGAGGAGCTGCAGGATGCCCTGAAGAAGAAGGTGGAGTGAGTGAGTGAGTGAGTGAGTTTAGTTTTCGCCACACTCGGCAATATTCCACCTATATGGCGGCGGTCTGTAAATAATCGAGTCTGGACCAGACAATCCAGTGATCAACAGCATGCGCAATTGGGAACCAATGACGTGTCAACCAAGCCAGCAAGCCTGACCACCTGATCCTGTTAGTTACGACAAGCATGGGTTACTGAAAGTTCATTCTAACCCGGACCTTCATTGGTAAGTAGGTGAGATGTGCTGCGAGATGTGATAGATACAAGCACCCAGTTTTTTAAACAAAATATGCCAGGTAACAAAACCCAGAATTTTCTAAAACTAAAAGATGGTGTGACAATCATTGGTAACTTATGGGTCTGTCTTCTTCCATGACCAGGGGCGATGGGGTAGCCTAGTGGTTAAAATGGTTGCTCGTCATGCCGAAGACCCGGGTTCGATTCCACCACTGTGATATTGCTGGAATATTGCTAAAAGCGGCATAAAACTAAACTCACTCACTCTTCCATGACCAGTGAATACATACAGCTGCCATTTATGACCAGTAAGTCAAGAAATGGTTTGGTTTCAGTGAGAAAGGAAGCCTAAGAGCCCTCACTCTGATGACTACTGAGATTATGTTGCACAAACGGTACTGTTTCTCGCTGACCAATGTGCAATGTGTCAGAGTGTGCGACTGCTGTGCCTCAGTGCCAGTGTTTGACGTCTCACAATGTTCATGCTTTGTCAGGTTCATCTGATGTCTATGAGTAATAAATGGCCTCAATTCATCAGCTTGCTAACAGCAGAATGTGTCACCACTACAACAGTCAGCTGTCAGATCAGTTACCGGGGGATGGAGGAACTTATACAAGACCACGTAGTAGAGATTGTACAGCTTGTGGACTGACCAAATGTTTAGCTCTTATGAACTTCAATCTATTTTTCAGGAAAGTTCGGTTCCAAGAGTGATTCAAACAGATCCTCTGCTCAGTAAGAAGTTTTTGGAGGCCAAACCAGCGCCCCCTAGTGAGCAAGGTAAACTCAACCCTGCGTCAGGATTGTATGGTGCCCAGTTCTTTTTCAGTAAGTAATGTTGTTGGTTGTGTCCGGTTGCAGGCTGCCGTGTTGGCTAGTGTGTGTTAGAGGGAGGGGAGCACTGTTCTGTTCTCTCACCTGTGTGTGTAAGTATCACCGAGTAGGTCACCATTGTTTGGATCTGCTTTCTGTAGAAAATAAACACATCATTCATTTGAGAAGAATTCTCATAGTATTATCACAAATTTCTTTCACAGTGTATTGTAATAATATAAGTAATTTATCTTAATTTTCACTTTCTTTCTTAATGATGTTCTGTTGCTGTTAAGGCCAGTCATTCTCCCCACTTAATTTTCATAATGCTAGTCTTGAACATGAATAGCTAAACACCTATCAATATCTGTATGTTATAAGACATCTTTATTGTATGCACAACGTTTCTGGGCTATTTCTTGCCCCTTCGTCATTTCACCTGGCAAGGAAAACCCCAGAAACGTTGTGTATACAATAAAGAAGAAGTTGACATCCATAATATTTTGTCTCATACTTAATACCAACTTCTATATGCCTCTCAAGAGCCTCATATGTGTGTTAACTGTCATGCATCTGTCTTCATATATCAATATGGCTATCTTTCTGTAGATGTCTGTCTACATCTGTGCTAATCTTTAAACTTACATCTGTCATTACAGACATTCACCTAATTAGTATCTGTTCAGGTGAATGTTTGACCCGTGAAGATCCGGGGAAGAATAGGTCTTTAGCAACCCATGCTTGCCACAAAAGGCGAGTATGCTTGTCGTAAGAGGCGACTAATGGGATCGGGTGGTCAGGCTCGCCGACTTGGTTGACACATGTCATCGGTTCCCAATTGCGCAGATCGATGCTCATGCTGTTGATCACTGGATTGTCTAGTCCAGACTCGATTATTTTCAGACCGCCGCCATAAAGCTGTAATATTGCTAAATGCGTCGTAATACTCAACTCACTCACTCACTAACTCAGGTGAAACCTTTGTCTCCTGTTTTGACAGGTATACTTTCTACTGGCCTGACACATATGCGCACTTTCATCATGAGACTTTTAATTCCCATGATGTGAATTTGATTCCAGTAGTTGTAATGCTGTTTTTGTAGGCACTGAGGAAGTAATTACTAGGACTGTTGTAATTTTTTCTTATCCTGACTCATGATCTTTTGCTTATCTCCCTTTCCCTTTCGAATGGTAGTGGAACACTTGAATCCCTTGAAGTTCCCAAAGCGGACGTAAAAATACACTCACCCACGAGTTACCTCCTTTTCCTGCGTAAACAGTCATGTGACCAGCCTTACTTGTCACTCTCTCCCTTTTCGCCCAGGTGGATGGTTGGGCGAGCACTGGAGTCCCGTATACGGCATTACATCCTTTTTATTTAGGTCCTATTCTTCAAAATTACGTTGTGTATGGATTTGGCTATAACTACATTGTGTTATATGTAAAAGATTTGAAAACATTATTTGTATTTGTGTCATAACTTTGATCCTGGTGAATTTATGAGACAATTCACCCTGACCAGATGATGGCCATGATGAAGCGTAGGTTAGGAAGAAGCGAAGGCTACAACGCGCCCAGTTGACTCGAAGCCTCTCATCTACTGACATTGTCCGCCAAACCCTCACGGACCTCGCGCAAAAGTCCTACTCCACATAGAACTACGTCTCAAGACTACGTTGGCGAACCCATTACACCTTTACGAAGGTCTCCACAGTCTGGCTTCCACGACTCTGTCATCTTGGAGGAGGATAGAAGACATGTTTGACGCCTACTCACTGTTCTACATCTAGGAACCCTCACCAGCGTTCGAGAACATCGAAGGATCCATCTCCAACATCTAGCGGCTCTAGATCAAGATCTCATATCTCTCACAGATGTTCGAAGTCACTCAAGGTTAAGGCTCACGTCACAGAGGTTCGCGAAGAGATGAATCCACAGATAGAGGTTCGCTCAATGAGAGGACTCTCAAGATAGACTTTCGCGAAGGGAGGAATCTTCAGACAGAGGTTCGTGAAGGGATGATGGAGGTTCGAGAAGGGATACAGTTACGCAGAACAACCAGGGATCTCAGAACCTTACACCTGTAGTAGGTTCAGTTTCGACGACAACCTACTTGATGAAAGGAATCCCTTCATCTACACGCAGATGCTGAGGGTCTTATCACCGGGTAGCAGATGGCCTGCATTGATATTGTCGTTCACTCACTCACCAACCCAACAGAGGCATTTCGGACTGCATATGCGCTGATGACTTCAACTCCAATATGATATCACCTATGAAGCTGATATCTCAAGTACTGGAGAACCTCAAGGTGACCTTGTAAAGGGCTTAAGGGTTAATAACGCCTTCAAGAATCCTTGAACAGACGTACAGATGATATTATTAACACTTTCGTCACTCAACTGAACAAGATTTTACACTTGGAGCAACCCTTATTCAAGAGGGATTATATGGCCATTAGAATTACACGCTTTTACTCAACCAACTAATTGCATCAGATTTTATGTAGGCCAACTTGCTACAACACCAGTGACGTCATGCTTGAAGCTGATTGGTCAGACAACGCCTCCCACTGACAGAGCAGGTACCAGCAAGTTTACTAACTTGTAAACAAACCCGTGGTGCGGGGAATACTTCACAGGCAGCTTTGGAAACAGTATACAACTACGGCCTGTTATCATCATGGGAATCTAATAGATGTCTAGCCTTGACAGCAGGATAAACAATGTTTATTTTGGAAGTTGTCGCTGATGATAAAAGTCGGTATGAGTACCTGTTCCCAACGCGATATGCTACAACACAGATGGAGCCAGCCTTGCTTTAAATAGGCAATGCCATTTCTGCCGATGTATGCTGATCAAAAGCGCCAGATCGCCTCAGTCAGTCCCCCATATAAGGGGAAGAATGATGTATCGTCACTGCAATCAGGGGTTAGCATTTCCAATGGAACGTCCTACTGTTTGGAATGTTGTCGGCTTTATGATTATTCATACGAATAACCAAGCCTATCGGCACCTATCTGCACCTATCTGCAGCATCGAGGTCTCGCGCAGTGCGGTTATCTGACCCGGCCCGGCATACAGGTTCTTCAAAGTGCCAATCAACTCAGACAGCAGCTGAACTTCACAATTAAGTTGCTCACGCAAACTAGGATGGCTAGTGAACCTGATGAAGTTGGAGTTAGAATCAAAAAGATCTTCAATTGCTGGGAATAAGAATTATCACAACACAGAATAAAATTGTTGTCGCCAAAGATCATTGGATCAAGATACAAGCCATGATTCCACAAGCAGTCATCTCTCCGTTAACACTACTGAACATGGCAATGTCTACTTGGTCTACTAACCTCGATTGCAGGACTTGACTCGCACAGGAAGGTTACAACTAAGGCCGCTGCAACAGTTCCTGACAAAACATCTGGACAGCGTCGACCCTATCTTGCTGCCAGACAATCTCAAGAGGTACCTACTTTAGTGGACCCACAGGTCGAGCGTCTCTTGCGGAGGGACCTATTTACAAGAACCGGCCTTCGACACACATCTCTATGTAGATGCATCGATACAAGGTTGGGGTGCACATCTCAACAATCAAGTTGCATCAAGGAAGTGGTCCAAAACAGAGTAGCATCTTCACATCAATCTGCTGGAGATGAAAGCTGTGATCAACGCCTTACAACTATGGTCGAGCTCACTGATCAACAGAATGCTGATGGTCCACACGGACAACTCTACAGTGGCATTCTCCATAAATCGGCAAGGATCTACAAGATCACCAAACCTACTACAGCTCACATTCCAGTTGTTTGACATCACGGAGGAGGCAAACACCTGGATAAAGCGTGTCACATACCCGGAGCAAAGAACGTGCTTGCAGGCGCTCTCCCGACCACTGCACCCGTCACCTCACGGAATGGATGCTCCATCCAGAAGCATTTCAGCTCATCATAAGGGAAATAGGATCCCCATGCACAGACCTGTTTGCCATGAGGTTCAACAAACAACTACAGACGTTTGTCTCACCAGTTCCAGATCCTCAAGCCTGGGCAACAGATGCACTGAACATATCATGGGAAGGACTAAACGCTTATGCGTTTCCACCACTGATATTACTACCGAAAGTACTGTTGAAGATCAAACAGACACAGGTGCTACAACTGACCTTGAGTAGCGCCATACTGGCCAGCGAGTATGGTTCCTAGACATAATAGAAGATCTTGAAGTCCAACAATCAAGTTACCAGATTGGCCGAACCTACTCATACATCCAGACACCATGCAGGTCCACAGGAACCCAACACTGTTCCAGCTACGTGTTGACCCTATCAAAACATGTTTGAGGAAAAGAGGATACTCCGCCAGGGCAGCCAAGGCAGTAATGCTATCGTTATGCAGATCTACTCATAACCTGTATGATGACAAGTGGCTGAAGTTTGAGACTTATGCAAGGCGGAAAGGCTTCATTGCTATGAAAGCTACTCATCCTCAAGTGGCGGAATACCTGTGTCATCTTAGACAGACCAGACATCTGAAAGGTTCGACATACCATACCTCGCTGCCATCAGTACAGTGATTACCATGAAAACAGGCATCAAGTTGACAAAAGTAGCAGAATTACTTGCTCTGCTGAGATCTTTTAAACTGGAGGACCAGCAAAAGAAGTTCAGAGCTCCGGCCTGGGATCTGAATGTAATTCTTCGTCATCTTACAAGTGATGCCCTCTAACCTCTAGATCAGACTACCTTCGAGCTGCTGACACAGAAGACTCTGTTCCTGCTTAAGCTAGCCACGGCAGCTCGAATATCAGAGATACATACGCTGGACTTTGGTCGAACCAGATTCGACATGGGGCAACATGCTGCAGATCATCTAGGACTTACATGGGACTTCATTGCCAAGAACCTACTACCTGGTCAGCCAGAAAAGACAGTTCCACGCACCAGCTTATCTACAATCCTTGGACCAGAGGATATAGTGGACCCTATCCTTGTGTCCGGTCAGAGCCCCTGAAGATATATCTTCAAAGACTAAGACAAGGAGACGAAAATTCAAGCACCTGTTCATCCCATTATCCACAGAGACATCAGTAGAAGTCTCAAGAACGATGATATCGTTCTGGATGAGAGCCGTCATATTGAGAGCCTATAAAGCAGCAGGACTAGAACCTCCTAGAGCTTCCAACCCACACGAAGTCAGAGCACTGGCGTCAACATTGGCTCTGCACGGAAATTGCTCTATATCAGCAATTATGGAGGGCTGCTTTTGGAAGTCGGATACGGTGTTTGCCAACCACTACCTCCGAGACATAGCCACTGAAGACGTCTCAGGCATTCACCAATTTGGGCCTCTCGTTGTAGCACAGCAACTAACGGTTCCTCAAAGGTGCTGAGTTGGAAAATCTCACCCTTTATCATGTTGACTTGTTGATAACTTTTACTAAGGAAAAGTATTAGTTTGAAAGTCCATGCACACAGTCTAGGACAGACTAGCATGAGTGATTAAAGATCCTGTACGGGTAAAGATCTTACCTGTACGTGAAGGGGTTGCAACTCATTTATGATAAAGATCTTATCATAATCTATGGGTTGTTATAAGATATCTAGTAATAAGAAGATACTAGTTTATCTGAAGCCACATGAATCAAGATGATTCAACTTGTCTGAGATTGAAGTAAGACAAGAAGTGGTCCCTACGAGTTATAACGGAAGTTGGAAGAATAGGATCTCGGAAATGCCGCTACGCAGTTCCCATGGGGATACAGGACGTATCTAAAGGACAGCTGATGAATCCAGGAAGTGGCCTTACCCACCACCAATCCACAGGATTCTATAAGCAAAAGATCATGAGTCAGGATAAGAAATAATATGTAATTTTTCAAGTAAAATTGATATTTTATACTTATCCTGACTCATGAGGTCAAGCCCTCCCCGCTGGAAACACTTCGGATTGCACAGCAGATCCAAGTGCTTGGGCAGAAAAATCAGGAGAGTGACAAGTAAGGCTGGTCACATGACTGTTTACACGGGAAAAGGGAGGTAACTCACGGGTGAGTGTATTTTTACGTCCGCTTTGGGAGCTTCAAGGGATTCAAGTGTTCCACTACCATTCATAAAGGAAAGGGAGATAAGCAAAAGATCATGAGTCAGGATAAGTATAAAATATAAATTTTACTTGAAAAATTACATATTCCTGTATTTGGACATAAGCTTACAATATTGTTAGTGGTGATATCATTTTGTGGCTCTGTGTTGTCTTAGCGTAAAGGAGGTCCTTAGTCCTGCACCTTGACATGAGCTTACCACTGTTGTGTTAAGAATGTTTTGTGGAACGGAGCACTGGAATGTGAAGGGCCAGCGCTATGTGGAGACAGCCCATGGTCCTACTGCTGTGTCAGGTTGTTGTATGAAGCAGCAGTTGCAGAGTTCCATGTCAGCACGACAGATGGACAGATGGACAGTTATCTATTGTGTATCAAGAACTAGCACTTTTGCATGACAGTTGATGTTAACATGCACAGTTTCTTTGACAATTCCAATGATTCTAATGAGCACACCACCATGCATTATGTCAGTGAGGGTTGGGGAACTTTCTATGTTGGGTTTCTTGCTTTGGTTTTATTGTCAGATTTTGGCTGGAGGCTTTTCTATGCTCATAATTTTGGTATTCGTGTACACCTTGAAATCTATAGAATATTGTTTTTTTTAAATGATTGCAAATGTCTTCACAATATTCTGGATAAGAATGCTAATCTTATGAAATACTGTATGTCATATTAAATTTATATTCTTGGATATTCTTATATAACTTATGCTAATCTTATGGAATACTGATAAGAATGCTAATCTTATGAAATACTGTATGTCATATTAAATTTATATTCATATAACTTAATGATATGCAATTGTGATATTTTAACTTGAATGAAAGTTTCAAAGGGTATCTTAAAAAATCAAAATCATTAGGAATATTACGGCACTTATAACTTGAAATGGAATTATGTCATACTGCTAACAATGCTTTTGAATTCAAAGATAGACCATTTTTACCATTTGTGATTCAGTTTTAAACAAAAATATGATATTTAGATATATTCCGGATAGTATTAAGGTTTCCTTCAATAAATCTCTTGTACTGTTACAGAGCCTGAGAAATCTGCAACTGATGGTTCCGGCCGACTGCAGAGCTTGATTTCTAAGTACAGAAGTCACAGTGATGCCACAACCGAGGAGCCTGAGAAAAAAGTAAAACCATTTTCTTTCACAACTGGACGCTTAGGGTTCAGGGGAAAGGGAGTCACACTCACCGCCCCCAAAGTCCCCGACAATAAAACACCTTCATCAGCAGACCAGCCTGGATTCACCAAACCGGGGGCAGGACGGTTGGGATCCAAGGGGCCTCCTCCTCCAACGCTCCCCAAACCCAAGGTGAGGCAGGAGATGGAGGCTGGAGCCTTGCGACAACAGGGTGGAGCGGAGCCAGGAGCTGTTAGTGGAGCCGAGGCAGGGGAGGGACAGAGTGGTCTGCAGGACACCCAGGAACAGAAGGATATTAATGCTCTTATACAGAAGTGAGTATCTGCAGCTGATGACAAAATGTTTACAGGAAAGTCTTGACACACTTCCTGACAAGGAACACCTAGTAAGGCATTCTGACACAGCAAAAGTTAAAGGCTATTGCTGGTAACTGATTGTTGACAGGCTTTAGCCTGGTCATGTTTGATTTTGTTTCTTGCACAGATGTATTCAGCCCACCATGGAATGGGTCATATATGGGTAGTCATTGGTTGGTGATATATTGTAATTATTCATTTAAACATTCATAAACCTGTTCCTTTGATTGGTAAATGATTCCAGTATATCCATGTTGAATTTATCCAATGTGTTGATCTAGTTCTGTGTCCAGTGTTATGTGTTCACTAACCTTGTTGTGGGGCCCATTGCACAAACCAGTCTTGTCGCTACAACCATCGTAAGCCTATGTTAATGTATGGGATTTGTGATCATCTTAGTGCTGAGATAGCTTTGTGCAGTGGGGCCCAGGTCTTTGCTATACACCTTCCTTTATACAACACCCCACAATAGGCACAGATACACTTCCTGAATACATGACCCTTACGAGAGTGAAATAGACCCTTCTCTGTATACAACACCCCAATAGCCACAGATTCACTTCCTGTATACATGACCCCTACGAGAGTAAAATAGACCCTTCTCTGTATACAACAGCCTACAGTAGGCATAGATATACTACCTGTGTACATGACCCCTACGAGAGTGAAATAGACCCTTCTCTGTATCTATAATTGTCACAAAAACGGTTCTTGTTTTTACGGCCCATTGATGATAGAAACATCTTATTTATATGGGCCAAGATCAGTTGAATCCCTTCCTGTGTACATGGTCCAAGGATAATCGAAACCCTATAATACTCAACCCTATGCTAGTCCCAGAACCTTCAGCCTGTGCACACAGCCAGATAATAATCACAGCACACTGTTCTCTGTAAGCTTTTTGTGTTGCACCAACTCTGAACACTGTACTTCCTCCTGTAGCTCTGTACTAAAGCTCCTCTTCTGTGTGTGTATAGCTGTAGGGTGTGAGTAGAAACAGTGGACACGGCAGTGTCGGGAACTGTAGACTAATACATATGCTGGGGACATCTTCAGGACATATAGACACAAGTCTATAGACACAACATATAGGAACATGTCCTATCTGCCTCTAGGTATTGGCTGTGACAAATACAATGATGCATCTATGTCTGAAGTGGGCCTTCACAGGTTGGTGCCCATACACAGTAAAGGTCTTGTAACTGTAGCTGTGTGGCAAACTTTGACATTGTGTTTATAGTGGAATATCATTAACTGGTGACCCATGAAAATCCAGGTAAAAACTGATCTTCAGCAACCCATGTGTGCCATAAGAGTCAATTAACAGGATCGGGTAGTCAGGCTTTATGACTTGGTTGATGCATTTCATTGTATCCAAACGTGTAGGTGCTTGTCCCTCACTGATGTCATCACTGGATTGTCTGGTCCAGACTTGATTGTTTGCAGACAGCTTTAGTATGGCAGGAAATTGCTTTGTGCAGCTTTAAACACTAAACAAAAGCAAGCATTGACTGGTATATTATAATTAGAATTACAGCATACAATAAATGGGTTTTCAAGGACTTGAATGAAACTTTACACTAAGTTTGGGCTGAGCCCAGTTCCTTTTCAAAATAGATAGTGTTCACATCTATCACTAAGAACTCACTCTTGGAAGAGTGTTTCAATTAACAGCTGTTCATCGTGGTTCTCTTCATCTGCTATTAACTTACATATAATTTGCATGGTGGACTTTTCTATTTCTGAGTCAACTTACGAGGCCTCATCCCTTGCATGCTCCTCCTTCATACTGCGTTCTGTTGTGTTGCATGGAGCTGTCTTCTGTTATACTGAATCTCACCTTGGTAGATAGCCCCACCCTCAATCACACAGTACCACCTGTGTTGCATGGAGCTGTCTTCTGCCATACTGAATCTCACCTTGGTAGATAGCCCAACCCTCAATCACACAGTACCACCTGTGTTGCATGGAGCTGTCTTCTGTTATACTGAATCTCACCTTACCTGGTAGATAGCCCCACCCTCAATCACACAGTACCACCTGTGTTGCATGGAGCTGTCTTCTGCCATACTGAATCTCACCTTGGTAGATAGCCCCACCCTCAATCACACAGTACCACCTGTGTTGCATGGAGCTGTCTTCTGCCATACTGAATCTCACCTAGGTAGATAGCCCAACCCTCAATCACACAGTACCACCTGTGTTGCATGGAGCTGTCTTCTGTTATACTGAATCTCACCTAGGTAGATAGCCCAACCCTCAATCACACAGTACCACCTGTGTTGCATGGAGCTGTCTTCTGCCATACTGAATCTCACCTAGGTAGATAGCCCCACCCGTCAACCCAACACACAGTACCACCTGTGTTGCATGGAGCTGTCTTCTGCCATACTGAATCTCACCTAGGTAGATAGCCCAACCCTCAATCACACAGTACCACCTGTGTTGCATGGAGTTGTCTTCTGCCATACTGAATCTCACCTTGGTAGATAGCCCAACCCTCAATCACACAGTACCACCTGTGTTGCATGGAGCTGTCTTCTGCCATACTGAATCTCACCTTGGTAGATAGCCCCACCCTCAATCACACAGTACCACCTGTGTTGCATGGAGCTGTCTTCTGCCATACAGAATCTCACCTAGGTAGATAGCCCCACCCTCAATCACACAGTACCACCTGTGTTGCATGGAGCTGTCTTCTGCCATACTGAATCTCACCTAGGTAGATAGCCCCACCCTCAATCACACAGTACCACCTGTGTTGCATGGAGCTGTCTTCTGCCATACTGAATCTCACCTAGGTAGATAGCCCACCCCCAATCACCTGTGTTGCATGGAGCTGTCTTCTGCCATACTGAATCTCACCTAGGTAGATGGCCCAACCCTCAATCACACAGTACCACCTGTGTTGCATGGAGCTGTCTTCTGCCATACTGAATCTCACCTAGGTAGATAGCCCAACCCTCAATCACACAGTACCACCTGTGTTGCATGGAGCTGTCTTCTGCCATACAGAATCTCACCTTGGTAGATAGCCCAACCCTCAATCACACAGTACCACCTGTGTTGCATGGAGTTGTCTTCTGCTATACTGAATCTCACCTTGGTAGATAGCCCCACCCTCAATCACACAGTACCACCTGTGTTGCATGGAGCTGTCTTCTGCCATACTGAATCTCACCTGGGTAGATAGCCCAACCCTCAATCACACAGTACCACCTGTGTTGCATGGAGCTGTCTTCTGCCATACTGAATCTCACCTAGGTAGATAGCCCCACCCTCAATCACACAGTACCACCTGTGTTGCATGGAGCTGTCTTCTGCCATGCTGAATCTCACCACCCAGGTAGATGGCCCCACTCCCTCAATCACACAGTACCACCTGTGTTGCATGGAGCTGTCTTCTGCCATACTGAATCTCACCTAGGTAGATGGCCCAACCCTCAATCACACAGTACCACCTGTGTTGCATGGAACTGTCTTCTGCCATACTGAATCTCACCTAGGTAGATAGCCCCCACCCTCAATCACACAGTACCACCTGTGTTGCATGGAGCTGTCTTCTGCCATACTGAATCTCACCTTGGTAGATAGCCCCCACCCTCAATCACACAGTACCACCTGTGTTTGCATGGAGCTGTCTTCTGCCATACTGAATCTCACCTTGGTAGATAGCCCAACCCTCAATCACACAGTACCACCTGTGTTGCATGGAGCTGTCTTCTGCTATACTGAATCTCACCTTGGTAGATAGCCCAACCCTCAATCACACAGTACCACCTGTGTTGCATGGAGCTGTCTTCTGCCATACTGAATCTCACCTAGGTAGATAGCCCAACCCTCAATCACACAGTACCACCTGTGTTGCATGGAGCTGTCTTCTGCCATACTGAATCTCACCTAGGTAGATAGCCCAACCCTCAATCACACAGTACCACCTGTGTTGCATGGAGCTGTCTTCTGCCATACTGAATCTCACCTAGGTAGATAGCCCAACCCTCAATCACACAGTACCACCTGTGTTGCATGGAGCTGTCTTCTGCCATACAGAATCTCACCTAGGTAGATAGCCCAACCCTCAATCCACACAGTACCACCTGTGTTGCATGGAGCTGTCTTCTGCCATACTGAATCTCACCTAGGTAGATAGCCCAACCCTCAATCACACAGTACCACCTGTGTTGCATGGAGCTGTCTTCTGCCATACTGAATCTCACCTAGGTAGATAGCCCAACCCTCAATCACACAGTACCACCTGTGTTGCATGGAGCTGTCTTCTGCCATACTGAATCTCACCTAGGTAGATAGCCCCAACCCTCAATCACACAGTACCACCTGTGTTGCATGGAGCTGTCTTCTGCCATACAGAATCTCACCTAGGTAGATAGCCCAACCCTCAATCACACAGTACCACCTGTGTTGCATGGAGCTGTCTTCTGCCATACAGAATCTCACCTGGGTAGATAGCCCAACCCTCAATCACACAGTACCACCTGTGTTGCATGGAGCTGTCTTCTGCCATACTGAATCTCACCTAGGTAGATAGCCCAACCCTCAATCACACAGTACCACCTGTGTTGCATGGAGCTGTCTTCTGCCATACTGAATTTCACCTTAGGTAGATAGCCCCACCCTCAATCACACAGTACCACCTGTGTTGCATCTTTCAGTGTACATTCCTTTCTGACCTGGGATGAAGACCGTGTGTTAATAACTCCCCTTCAATGACAGCTCACATACCAGGACATCTGTTTGCATAAACCTACTTACCATCATTTTGCATGGAGCTTCTCCCCATTACTTTGCATTGTTTTTTGTGGGTGTGGTAGTTGATGAGGGTCCTGATAGGGTGGTCATTTGACATGAGGGATAAGATTAATCACTTTTAGCCTGCAGTGGTAAGTCTGTGACGGTTCTTGGTTAGATTTGGTCCCAAGCAGCCTGTGCTGGTCGACTGA